ACAATTAGGGATAAATAAGTGGACACTGTCTACTGTAATAATACTATTGCAAAGTATCTAGGGTATTTAATGGTTAATCAGACTTAACAACTAAACCAAAAACGTTTGCTGCTAAAATTGAGTATGTTCAGAGTAACATTGGTTAAACTTTGTGAACATGAAACGACAGCGTCTGCTAGTGATACTGTTGCAATGTATTGGAATACTTTGTTGCAGAAAACAGACTTTTGCAAATAGAAAGAGGAGCGTCTGCTAAGAAAAAAATACTTTCAATATGCACAAGGTGTTCTTATTCAGACTTTGCAAATAAAGAAAAAACGTCTGCTGCTGTAGGTTATAAACAAAAATAATATTAAAAAAAAATCTAATGTCTAATTTCCCACTACAATCACGCCATATTTCCCTTTTGAATAAAGGCCTTACATATGTACCCACTCCTGGGTACAACAAGTTTGATTGGTCCAAATACATAAACTTATTCGGTAGGAAATTAGCACTAAATCTTATGCACTCTAAAAGGGATATACTTATGGCAAATGATTTGGGATTGAGTTTGGAGGACTTTGAGTTCTCCAAAGTATTGACAGAATTACTTGACGAACAAAACCCCTCAAAATCCCTTACAAAATTAAAACCTCAGAGTTGGTTTACTCCCAACCTGAAAGACACCCCACATGTGGATTTGTTTGTCGAAATGACTACCAGCGACCTGGCAAAAATGCATCCCGAACGTCCACCTAGTAACAACTTGACTACGAATGAACGTAAAGCTCTCAAAGAATTAAAATCATTGGACAATGTTATCATAAAACCAGCTGACAAAGGCGGTAACATTGTATTATTAAATCGGGATATGTACATCGATATGTGCATGACACATCTTAGTGATGTATCCAATTACAGTGTTCTCCCCTCCGATCCAACGGAGATGTATATCAAAGAATTTGAAGCTTTACTTATAACAGCCTTAGAACAAAGAATCATTAACATGGAAGAGTTTAAACACCTACTGCCACACAAACATCCAACTGTTGCTACACTATATTGCTTGCCAAAAGTACACAAAAGCATCACAATCCCCCCTGGGAGACCAATTGTCTCAGGCAATAATTGCCTGACCGAGAGAGCTAGTAAATTCATTAACGAAATCTTATATCCGTATGTCACAGCATTGCCTTCTTATATACAGGACACAAAATCCACTCTATTAATTTTAGAAGGACTTCAAGTACCACCATATACTTTACTAGCAAGCCTAGACGTCGTATCACTGTATAGTAACATCCCACATGAAGCAGGCATACAAGCATGCCGTTCATTTTTAGAAACAGCGTCATATAAGGAGACACAGATTTCGTTTATTATCTCTCTTTTGGAATTTATTCTGAAGCACAACTACCTAATTTTCAATGGCAAATACTACTTACAAGAGACCGGGACTGCCATGGGTACGACTTGTGCTCCCACCTATGCAAACCTCTTTCTAGGTTGGTGGGAGGACAGAATGTGGAAAGATCCTAAATATAGTCTGTACCACAAGTACATCTTTAAGTGGTACAGATACATCGATGACATGTTAATACTTTGGACTGGTTCAGTACAAGTTTTTGAAGAGTTTGTCAGAACTCTGAACAATAATAAAATCAATCTCACACTTACTCATGTCATTGATGATAAAGAATTGGTCTTCCTTGACTTAAAGATCCTCCTAATGGAGGATGGCACTATCCAAACTGAACTCTTCAGAAAATCGACTTCAACCAATAGCCTCCTCCATTGGGAAAGTCATCACCCTTATAGGTTGAAGGCCTCCATCCCGTATGGACAATACTTAAGAGCAAGGAGGAACTGCTCTGAGGACTCAGCATATTACCAAGAATGTCAATCCCTAAAACTCCGATTTAAAGCTTTGGGATATCCTAACAAAGTCCTTAAAAAAGCGTATCAACATGCTAGCGGAACAAATAGATTAGAGAGCTTAAAGACCACACGTCCAAAATCTAGCCTCTCGATGCCAAGATGCATTGCCACTTTTGACAGTGGCTGGGAAAAAATGACACAGACATTCTCTAATCACTGGCCTATCCTTCTACACAACCCTACGTTGAAAAAATCACTGCCTAGCCATCCATCCATCACTGCTCGAAGATCTAAGAACCTTAAAGATCTTCTGGTCCATAGTTTTCTGGCTCCTATTCCAGCAGAACCCAATTGGCTTACAAATACCAAAGGCACATATAGATGTGGCCATTGTAAAGCGTGCCAGTTCATAACTCCCTCTCAATCAACAACATCTACTCAATCTAAAATCACTATCAAAACTAATGCTTTGGTCAACTGCAGTACCACTCGGCTAGTATATTTGATCACATGCAAATGTGGTATCCAATATATCGGCAAGACAATCCAACCTTTTCGTCGAAGGATTCTCCAACACATCAATTCAATAAAAAACACCATAACCCCTACACCGGTAGCAAGACATATTATGAATTTTCATCATGGCAATATTGACAATTTAAGATTTCAGGCCATTGAAAAATTGATATTTAATCAAAGAAAAGGCAGTTTCAATCAACAATTGTTGCAAAAAGAATCTAAATGGATATACTCATTTAGGACTCTTGCACCACAGGGACTTAATGAGGAATTCAATTATACACCATTTATACATTAAATTCAACTGTTTCTTTTATTTATTCATTGTGTATTTTGTTTTGGCACTTTATTTCCATCATATTTAATTACATATATAAATAATGACAGTTTTAGGTCATCAACTTTTACTGATCTTGTGATTCTTTTACTATTTCACTCAATTATTTTTTGATAATAAAGATCATCTCTGGCGCCCCCTGCTGTATTGCTAAACAGCACCTGTTCTGTTTATCATGCTCTTAAGACACCCTCCTGCTTTGCCAACAACTTTTAAAGTGAAGTTTAGAGACATCACATCAATTTACCAATGTAAGTTTTATTTTTGGGATATATATTGACCATAGCTGTTTTATTTAATCTATCACTCATGTGCATATAGCTGCTCAACACAGGGATGAGCAGCACGAGTAGCTCCACATACAGCTTTTGGGGTTTCTCCTTGATCCCTTCCAATTATGCTCTGCATTTTTAGTGACTATTCCCTCTTACAGATATCTATCTGTGGTTGAGAGATATTAAGATATTGAGCATTTTTGAGAGCTGTTGTAATAGTGCAGCCACGTACATTATTGATGGCTTTAACGCTTGCAGTAGATCGATAGCACAATTACATACTAAAACAAGAATGTATATATGTGGCTATATTTGAATTAACATCAATAAATAACTAAATATATGTATGTGGCTATATATTAATATCAATCTAATTAGGCATTTTACATAATATTGTGATATACCCAAACTTCTAAACTTTCTGAATTGTGTTAAGATTCAGGAACAGGTTACTGAATAGTGGAGAAAATGAAATGGTCCTTTCTGAGCACCGTCTTGCGTCAGCAAGACCTGATGATGTCACCCAAAAAAATAAATAAATAAATAAATAAAAAAAAATTTCTCCAATCAAATTGTTGGGCGCCCTATTTAAAAGTCTAACCGGCTATTATCAGGTTCCCCTTGAAAAGCCGCCTTACCGGCGAAACGCGCGTCGGGGTTTTTCCTCAATCCCTCCTAATATTATTATACTCTGCATTTGCAGTGATCATTATATGTTTCCTCATAGAAATCTATTCTTTATTTTTTAGTTAATAGATATTTGGACATTGAGGAGATTGGGAGGTGATTTAGTGGTATAGCCGCTCGTATTATCTGTGGCTTTAACGCTTGTAGCAGATTGACAGCCTATAAGATATTACATGAAACTGCTAGCTAGCTAACTCTATTTATATTTTATAAGAGAAGTGCCAGTGTAGGCACAGTTACTTATTACAATAATTTTCGTTTTCTTTCTTCTTTTTTTCTCTCTCTCAATTGCTTGCAGTTAGTTTCTCTTTCTTACAGGTGCCCTCGAAGGCACAGATATATTTCTATCTTTCAATTACATCTATCTTTGGGGTCTACATAGAATGGATTAATTCTGATAGGCAGTATGCTGTATATTATCACTTTATGTATCCAACTCTAACTGCAGCCGTGTAGCGAAATCAGATAGCTTTGTTTAAGCTGTCATATCCTAAGAGCGTTTTTTTGTTTTTTATATTATTTTTGTTTATAACCTACAGCAGCAGACGTTTTTTCTTTATTTGCAAAGTCTGAATAAGAACACCTTGTGCATATTGAAAGTATTTTTTTCTTAGCAGACGCTCCTCTTTCTATTTGCAAAAGTCTGTTTTCTGCAACAAAGTATTCCAATACATTGCAACAGTATCACTAGCAGACTGTCGTTTCATGTTCACAAAGTTTAACCAATGTTACTCTGAACATACTCAATTTTAGCAGCAAACGTTTTTGGTTTAGTTGTTAAGTCTGATTAACCATTAAATACCCTAGATACTTTGCAATAGTATTATTACAGTAGACAGTGTCCACTTATTTATCCCTAATTGTCATTCATATTTTTGACAATTAGACACTGTCTGCTTTTGGATTTTTAAATCTTATATTTTCTCATATGATCTTTTTGGGTCTTGAAATATATACATCTAGACCAAATATGATTTTATATGTGAAATAATCACTTTGTATTTTGTTCACTATTAAAATTTAAAACATTTTAAACTATATACTTCCTTGGTAGTGCTTCTCTCTCTTTCCTCAACTATATTTAAATTTAGGGTTAACCCCTCCACTACCTTACTATTTCTCCAGATATTAGGCTTTCACTCTGTTAAGTATCTTTACCTCCTTTACCTGTGAAAATTAACAAGGGATTAACCCTTTGATCAC